GCTATTGCAAATTGTGCTGCTATGAACACTGGGGTGCATAGGTTCTTTGAAATTGATGTTTTAGGATTCTTAGGATATAATCCTAGCAGTGGAATTGCTGGGTCAAAAGGCAGGTCGATTTTTAGTTTTCTGAGAAAATTCCATACTGTTTGTTTTCCATAATGATTGTACCAGTCTGCAATCCCACCAACAGTGAACTAAGGACCCCTTTTCCCCACAACCTCTCCAACATGTGTTGTTTATTGCTTTGTTTGTGATAACCATCCTGACTGGTGTAAAGTGGTATCTCATTGTGGTTTTAATTTGCATCTCTCTGATGGCTAACGATATTGAGCATCTCTTCATGTGTCTCTGAATGTTCTGTATGTCCTCCTTGGAGAAGTGTCTGTTCAAATCCTTTTCCCATTTTTTAATTGGGTTAGATGTCTTCTTAGAGTGGAGTGGTGTAAGTTGTTTGTATATTTTGGAGATTAAACCTTTGTCTGAGGTATCATTGGCAAATATGTTTTCCCATACAGTTGGTTGTCTTTTAAATTTAATATTGTTTTCTTTAGCCGTGCAGAAGCTTTTTATTTTGATGAGATCCCATTTGTTTATTCTTTTCTGTATATTCCTTGCTCTAGGGGACATATCAGTAAAAATGTTGCGGCATGAAATATCTGAGATTTTCTTGCCAATGTTCTCCTCTAGGCCTTTAATGGTGTCACGGCTTATATTTAAGTCTTTTATCCACCTTGAATTTATTTTGGTGTATGGTGTAAGTTGGTGCTCAAGTTTCATTTTTTTTGCATGTAGCTGTCCAGTTCTCCCAACACCATTTGTTGAAGAGGCTATCTTTACTCCATTTTCTGTTGATGCACCCTTTGTCGAATATTAATTGACTGTAGAGAGTTGGGTTGATTTCTGGGCTCTCTGTTCTGTTCCATTGGTCTATGTGCCTGTTTTTATGCCAGTACCAGGCTGTTTTGATTACAGTGGCCTTGTAATACAGTTTGATATCAGGCATTGTGATCCCTCCTACTTTGTTCTTCCTTCTCAAAAGAGCAGCTGCTATTCGGGCTCATTTATGGTTCCATATAAATTTTCGAAGTGTTTGTTCTATGTCTGTGAAATATGCCATTGGTACTTTAATAGGTATTGCATTGAATGTGTATATTGCTTTGGGTAGTATGGACATTTTGATGATGTTAATTCTTCCAATCCATGAACAAGGTATACGTTTCCATTTGTTTGTTTGTGTCTTCCCTGATTTCTTTCTTCAGTGCTGTGGAGTTTTCTGCATACAGGTTTTTTACCTCCTTGGTTAGGTTTATTCCCAGATATTTTATTTTTGTTTTTGCTATGTCAAATGAAATTTTTTCCTTGATTTCTGCTTCTGCTGATTCATTGTTGGTATACAAAAATGCCTTTGATTTCCGGATATTGACTTTGTAACCCTCTGTTTTGCCAAATTCATTAATTAGTTCGAGCAGTTTTTTGGTAGAGTCTTTAGGATTTTCCATGTACACTATCATGTCATCTGCAAACAGTGACAATTTTGTTTCCTCCTTTCCTATTTGGATGCCTTTTATTTCCTTTTCTTGCCTGATCGCTGTGGCTAAAACTTCCAATACTATATTGAATAGAAGTGGTGAAAGTGGACATCCTTGTCTTGTTCCTGATCTTAGTGGAAAAGCTTTTAGTTTTTCCCCATTGAGTATGATGTTGCCTGTAGGTCTCTCACATATGGCCCTTATTATATTGAGGGATGCTCCCTCTATTCCCACTTTGCTGAGTGTTTTTATCCTAAATGGGTGTTGTACCTTATGAAAAGCTTTTTCTGCCTCTGTTGATATGATCATGTGGTTTTTGTCTTTGCTTTTGTTTATGTGATGTATTACATTTACTGATTTGCGAATATTGAACCATCCTTGCATCCTTGGGATGAATTCCTCTTGGTCATGGTGTATGATCTTTTTGATATATTGTTGGATGCTATTTGCCAATATTTTGTTGAGGATTTTAGCATATGTTCATCAGTGATATTGGCCTGAAGTTCTCTTTCTTTGTTGTGTCTCTATCTGGTTTTGGAATTAGGATGATGCTGGCTTCATAAAAAGAGTTTGGGAGTTTTTCATCCTTAAATTATTTTTTAAGTATATTTTACTGATTATGCTATTACAATTGTCCCACTCCCCCCCATATAGCCTCTCCACCCTGCACCCCCCTCCCTCCAGCATCCACACCCCCTTAGTTCATTTTCACGGGTCATACATACAAGTTGTTTTGCTTCTACATTTCCTTTACTATTCTTAACCTCTCCCCTGTCTATTTTCTACCTACCATGTATGCTTCTTATTCCCTGTACCTTTTCCCCCATTCCCTCTCTCTTTTCCCACTGATAACCCTCCATGTGATTTCTGTTTTTGTGATTCTGCTCCTGGTCTAGTTGTTTGCTTAGTTTGTTTGTCTTTTTTTTTTTTTTAGGTTCAGTTGTTGATAGTTGTGAGTTTGTTGTCATTTTGCTGTTCATAGTTTTGATCTTCTTTTTCTTAGATAAGTCTCTTTAACATTTTATATAAAAAGGGCTTGGTGATGATGAACTCCTTTAACCAAACCTTATCTGGGAAGCACTTTATCTGCCCTTCCATTCTAAATGCCAGCTTTGCTCAATAGATTCATCTTGGATGTAGGTCCTTGCCTTTCATGATTTGGAATACTTCTTTCCAGCCCCTTCTTGCCTGTAAGTTTTCTTTTCAGAAATCAGCTGACAGTCTGATGGGAACTCCTTTGTAGGTAACTGTCTCTATTTCTCTTGCTGCTTTTAAGATTCCCTCCTGTTTAATCTTGGGTAATGTAATTATGATGTGCCTTGGTATTGCTTCCTTGGGTCCAACTCCTTTGGGACTCTCTGAGCTTCCTGGACTTCCTGGAAGTCTATTTCCCTTGCCAGATTGGGGAAGTTCTCCTTCATTATTTTTACAAATAAGTTGTCGATTTCTTGCTCTTCCTCTTCTCCTTCGGGCACCCCTATGATTCAGATGTTGAAATGTTTAAAGTTACCCTGGAGGTTCCTAAGCCTCTCCTCATTTTTTCTGAATTCTTGTTTCTTCATTCTGTTCTGGTGGGTTGTTTATTTCTTCCTTCTGGCCCAAACATTTGATTTGAGTTGCAGTTTCCTTCCCATCACTGTTGGTTCCCTGTATATTTTTCTTTATTTCACTTTTCATAGCTTTCACTTCCTCTATTTTGCAAACAACCATACTCATCCAATTCTGTGAGCATCCTGATTACCAGTGTTTTGAGCTGTGCGCCTGATAGGTTGGCTATCTCTTCCTTGCTTAGTTCTACTTTTGGAGCTTTGATCTGTTCTTTCATGTGGACGTTATATTTTTGTCTTGGCGCACCTGTTACGTAGTAAGGGGCAGAGCCCTAAGTATTTGCCAGGGAAGGGCAACCCACATCACTGCATTGTGGCACTGTCTGTGGGGGGGGGGGAAAGGACCTGAGAGGGAACAATGCCACTTGCTCAGCTGCTACCCCACCTTCAGTCACTTCCCCTGCTACCCACAAGCAAATTGGGCTTTTCTTGTGCTGATTCCCAGGTGCATGGGTTTGTGTATGTTCTAGGACCTTGTGGGTCTCTCCAATGAACTCTACTGTGAGGCTGGGAGTTTCTCCTACCACCGCCAACCCCACAGGCTTTTACAGTCATAGGTTTTGAGGCTTTATTTCCCTGCACTGGAATCCTGGGTTGCGCAGTCTGTCTCACTCCACAGTTGCTACTCCTGTTCTATCCACATGTCCTCACCACCCTGGCTGCCTAGGTCTGTCCCTCCTACCAGTCTGCATGACTCTTTCTTCTTTTACTCCATGGTGGTCAGACTTCTAGACAGTTTGATTTTTCTAGTGGTTCTGGTTATTTTTTGTTTTCCAATTTTCTGTTGTCTTCTTTTAGTTGTGTGAGGAGGCAAAGTGTATCTACTACTTATGCCCCCTTCTTGGCCAGAAGTCTGAACGAATTACTTTAATACATACCCGGTATTGCAGTGTTTTTATGTGCCAGAATTACTCCTCCATTACTTCACAAGTTTCTTTCTTTTTAATTCCAAAAAAAAAAAATTAGGGTCATGACAAATATCTGAAAGTATTGCACAGCCACACATTACTTTAAAAAATGATAATCTGCTGTCATGAACACCGTGTTGATTGCAGGAAGCTAGTCATACTGGAGTACCTATGGCATGATTCTGGTGTTGAAAATCAGGCAGAACTGAACCAAGGTGTTTGGGGACACATGCTGAGGGGAAGAACTAATGACAAGCAGGGACGAGGTGATGTCATGTCTCTTAGGCTGAGTGGTGGCCATGTGCATTTTCGTTTTACACTTAGATTTTGTGTGCGTTTCTTGATGTGGGCAATTGCTCACAATGCAAATAGCCTTAAAAAAACACAGAATCCCTGTAGCCCAGTTAAAATGTCTTTGCAACTCAGCACAAAGACTTCCATTTTCTTCATATCCACAATCCTATCTTGCACATGAATTTGCAACATACTGCTTATATTCGGTGTATTGGTCATGTTACGATTTAAAAAATATTTCTATTTATTTATTTTTACAGAGAGGGGGAGGGAGAGAGTGAGAGAAACATCCATGTGTGAGAGATACATCAACTGGTTGCCTCTTACATGCCCCCACCTGCCCAGCCTGCAACCTAGGCATGTGCTCTGACTGGGAATCGAACCAGTAACCTTGTGGTTCATAGGCCAGTGCTCAGTCTACTGAGCCACACCATCTGGGGCTGGTCACACCATGTTTCAATGGCCAAAAAGAATGGCTGTAATCGAAAGGACTAAAATGGTCAAATACTGGAGAAGATACAGAGAAAATGGAACCCTCGTATATAGCAGGGGCGAATGTAGAAAGCTCCCAACTGGCCATCATCTCAAAAGGGCAGCTTCTTGGGGAAACAGCTGAGCACTTTGTTCAAAGTTAAACACACACAGTAGGACCCACATGCCTCACTCCTAGGTAACTACTCGCAACCAATGAGAACATTTATGCTCGTACAAGGTTACCTATGCAAACGTTCATCCCAGAGTTATTGGTAAGTGCCAAAACATAGAACCCATCTGCGTGTGCCCAAACTGATGCGTGTGTAAACAAACGATGGTGCATCCACACATCTGAACACTACTCTGCAATGTGGGTGACCCTTGAGAGCGCTCGGCCAAGTGAAAAGACGGCCAAACACAAGATGGCTCTTGTGGGAGGCTGTCCCAGGCCGGTGGGGCCCACACTCATGACGCCTTCTATTGCTTCGCAGTTCCCCTGGAGACGTGGTCAGCATGACCTTGGCTGTGCACAGCGCCCGTCGCCAAGTGGCGGGTTTCGCGGTAGGCACCCTGGCCTGCATCTTCTGCATGATGTCCATGGGCCTCACCGAGTGGCGGATGTGGTACCTGGAGCGCACGCCGATGTCCTCCGCAGGCCTGGCCTGCATTGGCGTATGGAAAGTCTGCATTTACCGCCATAGCAGCTACTCCAAGAGAGACATCGCCTGCCACCTGTACCACTACACCGATGCCTACCTGCCTCTGGACATCCAAGCCTCCCGAAACCTACTGCTGGCTGCCAGCATCCTGGGGCTCCTGGGCAAAGGGCTGCTCGTGCTGGCGCTGCGGCACGTCTTCGTGGGCAGCCTGGACACGAACGTCACCGCCCAGAACCTCTTTCTCACTGCAGGCATTCTGAAGGTCGCCGCCGGCACCTGTATCTCTGTGGCCGTGGTCTGCAACTACTGCTCTGTGCTCAAGGCAGAGGGCATTGCCTTCCCACCCTCCTTCGCCTTGCCCTTCAAGCCGCAGGCACAGGACGTGGGGAGCACCTGTGGCCTGGCGGTGCTGGCTGCCTTCATGATGCTGCTGAGCGGGCTGCTTTCCTGCTTCTACAGAGTGGCCCCCGAGAGCCAAGTGCATCCTGTCGTGTCAGAGATATGAAATTCCTGCTTGCTTCGGCTCCGCAAATGCAAGATTACCAGGTGTTTGGGGGAGTGCGATCCAGATGCTCTATGAGACATTTCCAAGGGCTGGAGACTGCAGCCAGGTGGCCCTTCACTCTATGTGTCCATGGGGCTCATGGATTGCTTAAGGCCCTTTCATTAAAAAAATTTAAAGGCCCCCAAAGACCACTTGCCCACCTGTCTTACGGAATCTGAATTTTCATTACTGTTGAGTAAATAGTAAGAGTTTCCGAGAACCTCACATCTCTTACACTTTGGCTGAAAAACAACAAACCTTATCTCATGTGGCATGCTAGACGCGTCTGTCATAGAAAATTTTCCGCCCTGGCTGGTGTAGCTCAGTGAATTGAGTGCAGGACTGTGAACCAGAGGGTTGAGGTTCGATTCCCAGTCAGGGCACATGCCTGGGTTGCAGGCCAGCTCCCAGCAGGGGGCACACGAGAGGCAACCATACCTTGATATTTCTCTCCCTCTCTCCTTCCCTTTCCCTCTAAAGATAAATAAATAAGATCTTAAAAAAAAAGAAAAATTTCCAAATGTGCAAAAGTACAGTAGTATGAGGAATTCTCCCCACACCCATGACCAGACTCGACAATTACCAAGACTCAGCCAAATCACCTTTATCTCTCCTTCCTTCCCTTCTTAGTCCACAGGGTCAGGCAGAACTGAGGCCTGCTCGAGTGTGGTTATTAGGGTAATAATATGGGTGCCATAATTTATAGTTTTTATATCAATATTTCACCCAAATTTCATATGGTATGCTTGGTGTAATATTGTCATGTTACAGAATTATAGGCTAATAATTTTGTAATAAAAGATTTTATGATGAAAAGGGGCATTATTTGTGCCAGACCCCTATATTTTTTCTATTTCCAAAGGACTTTATGTTTTCAATATTTTATTTTAGATTTTAGAGAGAGGGAAAGAGAGAGAGAGAAACATTGATGTGAGAGGGAAACATGGATTGGTTGCATTCTGTAAGCGCCGTGACTGGGAACTGAACCTGCAAGCCAGGCATGTACCCCGACTTGGAATTGAACCTGTGACATCTAGGTTCTCAGGATCATGCCCAGCCAACCGAGGCACACTGGCCAGGGCTTTCCAAAGGATTTTCAAGCAAACTCCAGACATCAGGTTTCTTCATTCCTATAGACTTAAATATTATTGTCTAAAAAAGAATGGACATTTCCTTGCATAACCATATTATACCTTAAAAAGTAACAATTATTTCTATTTATTATCAAATACCACAATTCTTAAATGTCTCAAAAGGAATTCTATACTTTCATTATTTTTTCATGGAACACAGTCACCCTGCCTCTTAAGTCTTCATTTAAAGCACTTTTCCTACTACTCTTTTTTTTTTTGTAAACAAAATAAAAAGAAAAATGGTGGTGGGAAAATGGAGACAACTGTACTTGAACAACAATTACTTTCAAAAAAGAAAAAAAAAGAGAAAAAAGGAAGATGGAGACAGAGTAGGACAGGGCGGATTCTAGCTCCCGTATTTGTGGGTGAAAATCCTGGCAGATCTATAGGGAAGCAATGCGCTAAACCATCAGTTATCCAGCATTTGTGAAATTAAAAGAACAGAGATTGTGACCGATGCTGAAACACCAGACAGTGGCAGGTCAGTGGGGTCTCGAGGACCGGAGTGGAGACAAAGCAGTGGTGGGGGGCCGGCACCCCGGGCCAGGTGGCCCCCGTGCTGCTTCTATGGTCAGGGTCCAGAGCCATCGGTCTGAGACCAGTACCAGACGTGTCTGCTACAGGAGCCTGGGCACCCAGTGACCCCAGCGGCCACCAGCTCGGGCCAGCGGCTCCCCTGCTCCCCGTATAAGCAAAACTGGACAACACCAGGAAGAGACCTCTCTGCCGGCTTGCATTATCAGGGAGGGTTACAAAGACAGAAGGCCATGTTCAACTGCAGAGTCTGCAGTTCAACTGCCCGGGAGAATTGAGAGGTGCATTGTCCTCACTGGTCTGGCTGGGGACTGGGCTGGGCTAGGCTGAGAGGCAGGCTGTCTGGAGAGTTTTTCTTTCTTTTTGAAAGTGGACTGAGGTGTTCTCTTTCCAGGGCAGCTTGACTTGCTTCCCACCCGGCCTTGCAGCGAGCCAGGGGGAAAGCAGAGGCATTTGAGTCCCTGCCACAGGACTGGGAAGCACCCTGCCGGTTTCTTGGATCCCAGACAGCCTGACAGGTGCGCACAGGCGCAGAAGCCTCTGAGTCCTCGCCACAAGACTGGGAAGGACCCTCCAGGACCCGTGGGACCCAAGCAGCTTGGCGAGTGTGCTGGTGCCCACACCCCAGTCTGGTAGCCTGGCTGGTGCATGCACTTGCGCCGGCATCCCAGCCCACAGAGAGATCCTGCTGCAACCAGAAAAACCAGTCTGCACAGTTTGAAACCAACAAGGGAAGGGTTTTCCTGTTGTTGTTGTTGTTGTTATTGTTTTCTCTCTTTTTTCCCTTTTTTTAGTAACTTTTTTTGCGTTTGTTTAATAATCTTATATATTTTTAAATTTTATTATTGCTTTATCTTTCTATACGTTGTTCCTCTCCTTTCTTTTTCCCTGTTTTAGTTCTTCCTTTCCTTTCAAACTCATCGCTTTTGCCTCCCTTCTCCTGCCTTTTTGTTTGTTTGTTCGTTGCTTCGTTTTCTTTTACCCACAAGAGACACAAACAACTGGGAACTGTGAAAGGACCAGAGTGGGACCCAAAGAGGGGGCATCTTAACAGTAGAGACAGAGAGACAAATTTCACTTTCCTATAGCAGAGAAACCATGAGGTGTTGCATATTTTTTCATTATTCTCACTTCTTTTATATTTTAATAGTATCTATGTATTCCTCCTCTTTCTGTGTAGGCTTCTTAGTCTTGAGTGGTTATATTGTATTATTAGACAGGCTTTCCCTGTTCTTTCCTCCACAGTGCTTTGCTAATCCTCTATACTCCACGCCACTTGTTTTCCTTTAGCACATTACCTAAAGCTCTATACCCCCTACTCAGACAGATCACAAAGACTTTGTTATATGAGTGCTGCTCTAACATTAGTGTAAATAATAGCTCATCTATACAACACTAAATACTTCACAACACATCTCTCAGATCTTAGCCCATTGTACAGGTCCCTGAATTCTATTACTGTAGTGATTAACTCTATTTGCTCACACACTACACCTATTTACTGTTCCTTATACTCACCTTACCTCAAAATCTGACCGTCTGCAACCTCACTGCTTTCTAGTTCCAACTAACAAGCCTTCCCTCCCCAACAAGAGGCTTATCTTTTGTCCATCCTTTTGTAAAAGTGGCAAGTTGGGTTGAAGAATATGGTTAGCACTATATATAGCCTAAAGATCGCCTATCTCCTCTCTACTGTCTGTGACTGTAAATATCATAATATACTCTTCTGCTGTCACAAACCATTTTGCCTCCCCCTCCAACTGATTACACATACACGATAAAAGAAGTAGGTGGAAACAGAGAATATCAAGATACCTGAAGGAGTCTGCGCCACTGAAATTCACAGGTATTATACCACAGAATTTCACAACATGAACTCAGGGAGTCAGAACTGATCAATTTTAGAAGCTGAGGCTAACAAGAAGAGTCTCACAAACAATGGGAAGACAAAGAAACAATCCCCAAACGAAAGGAAAAGCAGGAAGCTTCAGAAAGAATGTTAGATGAAATAGAGGCTAAGTCAACTATCAGATTCTGAATTCAAAGCACTGGTTATCAGGAAGTTCAAAGAGCTCACAATGAGCTACCAGAAACGACAGGGGAGCTATAACGATCTCACCACAAGCTATATCAACATGAAAAAGGAAAAAAAGAAACTATCAGCAAGGGACAAGAGGAAATGAAAAATACAATTTCTGAATTGAAGAACAATAGAAAGCATTCAAAAGTAGAGTTGATGAGACGGAAGATCGGACTAGCGAAGTTGGAGGACAAAGTAGAAAGCATCTCACAGAAAGAGCAGGAAAATGAAAAGAAGCTCAGAAAGAATGAAGAGGGATTAAGAGAAATGCAAGACAATATGAAACATAGTAATATCCGAATAATAGGAATACCAGAAGGTGAAGAAGAAGAACAAGGGATAGAAAACCTATTTTAAAGAGTAATGAGAAAATTTCCCTAATTCGATGAGAGAAAAAGTCACACAAATCCAGGAATCACAGAGAGTCCCAATCAAGAGGAACCCAAGGAGGCCCACTTCAAGACACATCATCATTAAAATGGCAAAATTCCAAGACAAAGAGAGAATCTTAAAGGCAGCAAGGGAGAAAAAAGAAGTAACATACAAGGGAGCCCCAATAAGGTTAGCTACTGACTTTTCAATGGAAACACTCCAAGCAAGAAGAGAATGACAAGAAATATTCCAAGTAATGAGAACCAGAGGCCTACAACCAAGGCTACTTTACCCAGGAAGGCTCTCAATCAAGATAGAAGGCCAAATAAAGAGCTTCCAAGACAAAAGAAGTCTAAAAGAATATGCCTCCACTAAACCAGCCCTACAAGAAATACTAAAAGGACTGCTTTAAGGGAAGGAAGGATAAGTGAGAGACAGAGAGGAACACAGGTACAAAAATGGCAATGAATAAGTACCTATCAATAATAACCTTAAACATAAATGGATTAAATGCTCCAATCAAAAGACACAGAATAGCAGCATGGATAAGAAAGCATGACCCACACATATGCTGCCTACAAGAGACTCATCTCAGGACAAAAGACCATCACAGACTAAAAGTGAAAGGCTGGAAACAAATTCTCCAAGCAAACGTACAAGAAAAAAAAGCTGGGGTAGCAATTCTCATATCAGTCAAAATAGACTTCAAAAAAAGGGCCATAAAGGGAGACCCAGAAGGTCACTTCATTATACTCAAGGGAAGAATCCACCAAGAAGACATAAACATCATAAATATACATGCGCCAAACACAGGAGCACCCAAATATATCAAGAAAATCTTAGAAAACCTGATATTCAAGAAAGATATCGACAGCAACACAATTATAGTAGGGGATTTTAATACCCCACTATTCAAAAATGGACAGATCTTCCAAACAAAATATCAGCAAAAATATTGCAGCATTAAACAACACCCTAGAGGAAATGGACTTAATTGATATATATAGGGCTCTTCATCCCAAAGAAGCTAAATACACATTCTTTTCAAATGCACATGGAACATTTTTAAAAGTAGATCACATGATAGGACACAAAACGAGCCTCAACAAATTCAAAAAAATTGAAATCATACCAAGCATCTTCTCTGACCACAAGGGACTAAAATTGGAAACCAACCCCAAAGGTAAAAACCCAAAGCACCGAAAATCATGGAGACTGAATGGTATGCTATTAAACAATGAATGGGTCA